TTTACTGCAAGTGACGACGTTAACTTGTAGATATTCACTTTATGAGTTCACTTAAAAATTGTACATTGCGTGTATACATTTTTTTTTTTTTGTTGTGGTGCTCTTGGGTATTATTTCCCTCTTGCTGCACTTCACTCACTAGCCTGATGGTGAAACTCTGGCTAAAGACTCCAACGTCTGAACCATGGTTAGTTATTAAAAAGTTAAAATAAATCATAATATTTATTTGATTGGGATTTAGTCATAGTTTCTCCAGAGTAATTATTGCAAAAAAAAGAAAACCTCTCATTGGACCTCATTTTAAAATTTAAATTTTGCCCACTGGTTCTTCGCCTTGATTCCCTAAGTATCTAGCTAGGGAATAGATAGATAGATACCTAGGGAATCAAGGCGAAGAACCAGTGGGCAAAATTTAAAACGAGGTCCAGTAGATTTTTAGTCATCGCTTGGAGAAATAGAACTTCACCTCTGGCTGTAAAAAAATTAATTAAAATTTTCTATTACGTGAATTTTTTTTTTTTTTAAATGGTCCCTTGTGACTTTTTTTTGCTATAGAAGGTGGGGGAGAAAAGTATTGGTCGTGTGTATGTATATATATGTATATTATGAAGCAACCACCTGCACACGTCTACGCATTAATTGGTTTCGGTTGGATAGAGTAACCATCGTGATTAAATTCTCGAAAACAAGGGGAACTGCGACCAACCCCATAGTATGTCCTCTTTGCCGTTATATTGTCTCGAGCCTACTCGTGTCATTCGGTTCTGATGGGTCGTGATTTGGCAATTATCGAAATAGATAATCCGCCAGACCATATACCCCATCAACGAACCACCAATTTTCACTTACATTCACCCTCAATTGCAACACTCTTATCAAATCAAACTGGTCAAATCATCTCTCTCTCTCTCTCTAATACGTATTTGTATATCTATAAACATATTGCCCCTTCCCAATACCCCAACTTCAATTTATGGTTAAAATTTTTAATTTCGTCAAATTCTTACAAACTTCTTATTATACTTTTCTATAAATTATATTATCCTTATTTTTAGGGTCATGTTCTGCTCTGACCTGAAAAAATAAGTTAGTGATTATTAATAATCACTCAATAAATAAAATTGGTCACCACGATTTATGGTGGTTTTTAGCCATTGGCTTTGGACCTAATTTTAATGTGTTTGCCATTTTTAGGTCCAAAGTTAGATCAAAATTGACCTAATTTGATAAGAAGCAACATTTGAACAGAAGGCAGACTTCGCACTCCATTATTAATTTTAAAAAATTATCAAAAAGTATCTTTCAAACTAGAAAAAAGTAGCTATCGAAAAATTAAACTTGACGGGCAAAAAAAACTTCACAAAACTGACAAAAATTTTTGCCAATAATTGAATGTCTGTGTGGTATTTCATTAAATTTTCTTTTGAAAATAATTGAATTCATAAAAAGCATTTTATTATTTTTATGAAAATAATTGAATTCTTACGAAAGATTTTGGTAGAATTTTTTTAAATAATTAAATTTCCAAGAAGAAATTTTTTACTTTGAAAAATAATTAAATTCTTGTGATGAATATTGAAAGTAATTGAATTTTGCAAAGAATTTTATTAAAATGCATCAAAATAATTGAATTTTCGGGAATAATTTTGTTATTTCTCGACATAATTGAATTCTTTCGAAGAACAATTCGTGTAAATAATTGAATTCTTGGGAATAATTGTTTATGTAAATAATTGAATTCTTAGGGAAAGTTTTATTAAAATCAAAATAAGAATAATTGAATTATTTTAAAAAAATTATAATTAAAATTTTATTTAAAATAAATCATTTCTTTCGAACAATATTATTAAAATATTTGAAAATAATTGATTTTTTCGAGGATTTGAAATTAAATTTTTAAGAATAATTGCATTTTTGGAGCAATTCCTGTAAAATTGTATTAAAAATAATTAAATTCCTGAAAAAAATTTTATTATATATGAAAATAAATGAATTATTGAGAAAAATTTTATTAAAATGTTTAAAAAGAATTGGATTTCTGTGAAAAATTTTGTTATTTTTGAAAATAATTGAATTCTTCATAAGAATTTTATAAACATTGTTTTAAATAATTGAACTCTTGACGAAAACTTTATTTGTGAAAATAATAGAATTTTTCGATTTATTAATTTAAAATAGTATTAAAAATAATTAAAATCCTGCGATGAGTTTTAGTATTTATGAAAATAATTAAATTTTGAATAAATTTTATCAATTTTTTAAAATAAATTAATTCTTTTGAGAAATTTTATAAAAATAGTAGATATTGAAAATGATTGAATTGCGAAAAGTTTTTAAAGATAATTAAATTTTACAATGAATTCAATTAAAATTTTTAACAAGAATTGAATTCTTGCGAACGATTTTATTAGAATTTTTTAAAATAATTAAATTCTTATTTGATGAATATTGTTATTTATGAAAATAATTGAACTTTGCAAAATAATTGAATTTTCGGGAATAATTTTATTATTTATCCACATATAATTGAATTCTTTCAAAGAATTATTTATGTACATAATTGAATTGTTGGGAAGAATTTTATTATTTATGAAAATAATAAAATTATTGCGATAAATTTTATTAAAACGTTTAAAAAGAATTAAATTTCTGTGACAAATTTTGTAATTTTTTAAAATAATTAAATTCTTTATAAGAATTTTATAAACATTGTTTTAAAAAATTAATTAATTTTTTTCGAAATATAATAAATATTATGAAAATTTTATTTTAAATAATTGGATTCTTGTGGAAAACTTTATTTATGAAAATAATTGAATTCTTGGTTAAAATTTTATCAAAACTTTTTTTTAAAAAATTGAATTTTCGAGGAATTGAAATTAAATTTTTATGAATAATTAAATTTTTTGAGCAATTTCTGTAAAATCATATTAAAAATAATTGTAATCCTGCGATGAATTTTATTATTTATGAAAATAATTGAATAGTTGCTAAAAATTTTATTAAAATTTTCAAAAATCATTGAATTCCTGAGAAGAATATTATTATTTATAAAAAGTAATTGAATTATTGCGAAAATTTTTATTAAAATGTTTAAAAAGAAGTGAATTTCGGTGAAAAGTTTGATTATTTTTGAAAATAATTGAATTCTTCATAAAAATTTTATAAATATTCTTTTAAATAATTGAATTTTTCGATTAATTAATTTAAAATAGTTTAAAAAATAATTGAAATTTTTTTATGAGTTTTATTATTTATGAAAATAATTGAATTTTTGTTTAGAATTTTATCAAAAATTTTTTTTAAAAATTGAATTTCCATGAAAAATGTTATTATTACTAAATGTCATTGAATTATTTTGAAAATTGTATAAAAATTTTGTTAAATAATTGAATTTTTCGAAATTTTTTTGAAAATGCTATTCTAAATTAATTGAATTCCTGTGGAAATTTTATTATTTTTGAAAATAATTGAATTTTTGATGAATTTTATCAATTTTCTTTTTAAATAATTGAATTCTTTTGCGTTTTATGAAAATATTAGATATTGAAAATAATTGAATTTCGAATATTTTTTGAAAATAATTGAATCGTTTTACAAAATTAGTTTTAAGTGGCTAAAATCTAAAAAAAGGACCCAAATAGTAGCATATTGTAAAAAAATGTAGTAAATGTAGCGGCCCCTATATTTTTAGCTACAGATTAATAAAAATTGATGAACAGACTTATTTGAACACGAAAATTCTATATTTTAAAAAGAAGAAAAATTCGTTTATCCATATAATTTATTTTTGCCAATACCAAGAGAAATTAATTATCTTCTCTAAATTGTGAATACGCGCGTTAATAAACTGTTAAATTTGATGTTGTTTGTAGAAATTTTCTCTCTCTCTCTCTTCTTTGTCCCTTTTCTTATTAGAGATTAAAAGAGCAGTTTCCGCTTGATGCCCGGAGGCATCGTTTGGGTATATTGAAGCTCTCATTAACAGTATAATTAAGCTTCTCGCATCGCAGCGCATTGCATTAGATCGAATTGTGGGAGGTAATCGGGTAGCTCAATGGCGAACCATAGCCAAGGCATATAGGAAGCTTGCTCTTCCTAGGCTAACCAACAGCCTAATAACTTCGCCTTGGCTCAGTGATTGACGCGTCTGTACTGGTTAATTATCAACAACAATCAATAACGACCCGACCTTTATCGTCTGAGTAACGCCCCCTGCCCATTATAGAGAAGATACTATATATATATATTAACTTCGAAACGGGAGAATATATATATATATTCTCCTTTCTTCGCGAGAGACTTCTGTTTCCATCTTCCTGGTTAATAAGACGGAAAGGTGGACTTGCGCTTTGCAATTTTCAATCTATAAGCGGAAAATAGTTTTCATTAAGTCAATCATTTTATCATAAAACTTCACCTATTATTTCCGAATGAGAATTAATCGTTTATTTCACGATCTTTTTTTCATTTCATTTATTTCCAGTTTTCCAAATTGAAAAAATTGTTATTATTCACTAATTATTTATTTACTAATTTGTATAATAATTAATAATTAATAATTAAATGTAATTATAATTTTATTGCTTGAGTATAGATTATTATTAATTAAATTATTAATATATATATATATATATATATATATATATATATATATATATATATATATATATATATATATATATATATATATATATATATTGAATTAATATGGAAAAAATTATTTATTTTCTCAGTAGGTAACAAGAAGTTGTGTATAGTTCGCGATGGCCGTAAGCGTTAAGGCGCCAATTATATAGAAACTTATCGCCGGAGGTTCGATTCTTCTCCACTGAAAACAATTTTTTTTCTCTTTAAATAGACGATCACTTGTCTATGTTTCTATTTAATTGTTTGAATGGCAAGAGCTATGTGAAATAAATAAATAAATATTAAAATTAAATTTTTTGTATTTATTAAAAAAAATAATAAATTTTTTTTTTTTTTATTTTTGATTGCAGGTGAAAACAGTTGTTGTAATTCAACGGGTGGCGGAAGTGATGAGGAATTGGAACCTGGTTCCAGAGATGATTTAAACGAAAATAGTCCAAAAAAGAAGCACCGACGGAATAGGACAACATTTACGACCTATCAGTTACATGAACTCGAAAGAGCTTTTGAAAAATCCCACTATCCTGACGTCTACTCGAGAGAAGAATTGGCCATGAAAGTCAATTTGCCGGAAGTTCGTGTCCAGGTGAGCGCACGAAAATATTTATTAATTTCTTGCCCAATTAGTATTTAACTTAAATTAAATTCTGAATTAATTTATTAACAAAATTAATCACTTTTCAATTAATTAACTAATTATTATTAATTAATAATTAATAATTAATAATTAATAATTAATTGCTTTCAAATTAATTAATGAATAAAATTAATTAGTTTTAATCTAATTAATTAATAAAATTAATTGCTTTCAAATTAATTAATTAATTAATAGAATTAATTGTCTTTTTGTTTCCCAACTTTTTTTTATTAATTTTTCTTTTTATAATTCCAAATTTTAAATTAATGTTGATATTGAAAATTATTGAATTTTTGCAAAGAATTTTATTAAAAAATTTGCGAATAATTGAACTCCTTCTAATAATTTTATTATTTATGAAAATAATTGAATTCTTGAGAAGAGTTTTATTATTTATGATACATATTTAAATTCCTGCGAAGAATTTTAGTAAAATTTTTGAAAATCCCTATTAAATTCTTTTGAAAAATTTCTATGAATTTTTTTTTAAAATAATCGAGTTTCTTTAATAATTTTAATAGAAAATTTTGAAAGCAATTGAATTTTTTATGATGAATTTTTTTGAAGTTTTTAAAATATTCGTGTTTCTTAATAATTGAAATTAAACATTTAATTATTGAATTTTATTACAATATTTTTATAGAAAGTAATTAAATGTTTCTCAGAATTTTATTACAATTTTCAAAAATAATTTACTTCATTCAAGTAATTTTATTAAAATTTTAGAAAATAATTTGATTCTTTCAAAAAATGTTATTAAAAATTAAAAAAAAAATAGAATTTTTTCGAAAAATATTATTAAAAATTGAAAAAAAAATCTGAATTCTTTCATGAAATTTTATGGAAATTGTGTTAAAAATAATTGAATTTTTAAAAAGAATTTTACTATTCATAAAAATAATTGAATTGTTTCCAAGGATTTATTAAAATTTTAGAAAAAAAAATTTAATTCTTTTGATAATTTTTTTAACGAATTAAAAAAAAAATTGAAATCTTTCGTGAAATTTTATTGAAAATAATTGAATTTTTGCAAAGATTTTCCCTTTTAAAAAAATGGAATTTTTTCAAAGGATTTATTAAAATTTTGGAAAATAATTTAATTTTTTCGAAAAATATTATTAAAAATTTTTAAAATACTGAATTCTTTTATGGAATTTTATTAAAATTGTGTTAAAAATAATTGAATTGTTTCCAAGGATTTTTTCAAATTTTAGAAAATAATTGAATTCTTTTGAAAATTTTTTTAAAGAATTAAGAAGAAAATTGAAATCTTTTGTGAATTTTTATTGAAAATTATTGAATTTTTGCAAAGATTTTACTATTTAAAAAAATAATTGAATTTTTTTAAAGGATTTATTAAAATTGAAAAAAATATTTGAATTATTTTGTGGAATGTTATTAAAATTTTGTTGAAAATAATTGAATTTTTGCTAACAATTTTACTACTTATAAAAATAATTGAATTCTTCCGAAGAATGTTATTATTTACGAAGGTAATGCGAAAAATTATATTAAAATCTTTGAAAATATTAACAATAATAATTAATATTGTACTTAAATTAATAAGTGAATTTTTAAAATTTTGATTAAGAAAATAATTCAAAAATTTACATTTGAAAATAAAAAATTTTGTAATTTGCATAATAATAATAATAATAATAATAATAATAATAATAATAATAATAATAATAATAATAATAATAATAAATTGAACATGAAATAAAGTTAATTACTCTCAATTCAGTTAACTAATAAAATTAACTGCTTTCAAATTAATTAATGAATAAAATTAATTACTCTCAATTCAATTAATAAATAAAAGTAAATAATTTGAAGTTATCAGTCAATAAAAATTAATAATCTTAACGTTAATTAATTCATAAAAGTAGTTAATTTTAAAAGTATCAATCAATAAAATTAATTAACTTAATGTTTATTAATCAATAAAATTAATGAATCTTGAATTTATTTACTAATAAAATAGTTAATTTTCAATTTCTCATAGAATAAATTGAATTTTTATTTAAACTATTTCAAAAAAATGTAATTCCTAATTAATTGTAAGTTTATTAATTTCAAATTTGGTAATTGACAAAATTAATTAATTCTAACTTTATTAATATCAAATTTACAAATTAACAATTTACATTAAGAAAATTAATCAATTTTAGATTAACTAATTAATAAAGTTAATTAATTTTCATACTCATTTTATATTTTATCGTTATAAATTATAATTAACGTTAAAATTATAGCGATAATTGCAAATAAACTAAAACAAGATGAAAGGAAAAATACATTGATAGAAATAAATATACTGACATTAAATATAAATAAAAAAAAAAAATAAACATTAAATAAAATAAAAAAAACATTAAATATATACATAAATAAATAAAAAATAATAAAAAAACATACATTAAATATATACATATATTAAAATAAGTAAATAAATAAATATATAACTGTGACATTAAAAAGGAAAATATTAATAAAATAAAAATTTGATCGTCAATAAAATTTTAAATTATTGAAAAAGTAAAATTTTATTAACGTAAAGTATAAATGAAATTGAATGTGCGAGAGTTGAATGCGGGGATTCGGTTTTATTTGAAAATGAAATGCAATTCGCCGCTATAAACCACTGTCGACTGCATAATATATTTTAATTAACAGGGCAAAGCTTTGATTCGAAATTCGATGAATTGTGACATTTAAATTTGGCAGGTCATAAAATCATGACGTAGACTAATGGCGCTTGTTTCCGTGCAAACAATCGACATGGCAATCGCGCGTTGCTTTCGCGCTAGGCGGCGTATTAAACTAAATTAAATTAATTATGTGCGTGACAACGATAAAACAACCAAGTCTGCATGCGATGACGCATCGATTAGAATGTAAAATTGCGCGGCTCCCTTATTTTTTCTTTTTTTTGCGGCTAAATAAATTCACATTCTCTGGAATAAAAATGGAATTACAATTTATCTTTTTTTTTATATAGTGAAATATTCTTTGAAAAATTATCATTTTGGTAATTTTTATTATAAAAATAATAAATTTTAGTTTTTTAATTACCATTCGTTTCTGACCAATGGTATTTTTAGTTGGTTGATATACTTTCGACTACTGGTATTTTTGACCATTAGTATTTGTTAGTTTCTGAATTTTTGACTAATGACAGTTTTGTATCGATTATTTTTTTACTACCGCGGTATTTTTGACCAATAATATTTTTAGTTTCTGAATTTCTGACTAATGGCAGTTTTTTAACGACTATTTTTTTCGACCACTTCAAAATCATTCAATTTATATATTTATTGCAATTTTTCAAAATTCCAATTAAAAATTTCCAACTCTTTTAAACTTGTTCAATAATTCAATTATTCAAAAAAAAAAATTAATTATTCAATTATTACCTGTTTATTATAATGATTATGATTTACAATTTTATTTTGAATTTTTTTTTATAATTATTCAATTATTCTATTTATTGCAATTTCTCTAAATTTCAATTCAAAATTTCCAACTCTTTAAAAATTATTCAATTGTTATTTATTATAATTTTTAAACATTTATTCGAATTTTTTCAAAATTATTCAATTGTTAAATTATTACCTGTTTATTGTAATTATTTTAATGATTTACAATTTTTTTTCAAAATTATTCAATTATCCAAATACTATTATATTTATTGCATTTATTCAATTTTACATTTATTCAATTATTATATTTATTGCAATTTTTCTAAATTTTATTTAAATTTACTCCTTAAAAATTATTCAATTATTCAAATGTTATTTATTATAATTTTTAAACATTTATTCGAATTTTTTAAAAATTATTTTATTATTCATTATAGTTTTTAAAAATTTATTATAGTTTATAAAAATTCATTATAGTTTTTCGAAATTCATTTAAATTTTTACAAAATTATTCCTTTTATTTAATTATTATTTATTACAATTTTTAAAAATTAAATTAATCTACATTTGATATTAATAAACATTCATTATTCATATTTCTTGCTTTTTAGAATGTTAAACAAGCTTTTATTTTGTTACAAAGAGAAAAAAAAGGAAATAAAATTCTCTGGTAAATTGAAAGAATCGTAATAAAGTCGTAATTAAAATAAAGCTTTATTTCAACTATTTTAACTATTAAACATTATTTATTTCTCTTTCTTCTGTTTAATCTTCTGGATTATTAAAATTCATAAAATTCACTGAAAGAATTATTAAATTTCAGTGAAACTGAATAATAATTTTAATAATAAAAATTTAAAAATAATTGTAATAATTTTCAAAAAATATTGCAATGATTATAATTGGTATAGTAATAAAAATTTCTTACATCTAATAGAAAAATTATTATTGTCATATTTTTAAAGTGTATACTCGGATTTTATGTTTCTCTCTATTTTTTTTCTCTTGCGCGCCGGCTTAAATATGTAATCAGCTTAAAGTATTAGGTTCAGAGAGAAAGAGAATGTTTTCGGTCACAGTAAATAAAAGGAGCGAGAAACTAAGTACAAAACATAGGAAAACGCTTTTGAGGAAAATTGGAAAAAGTCAGTCAACCGCAAAAAAGCCACTCACCTTTAGTTTTCAACACACTTTAACATTTTTTATTACTATTTTCATTTATCAACTTTCTTCGCACTACTTTTTTTTTGTTCTTTTTTTTTAATTCAAAAACTCCACTGTAAATTGAAAACTTGTTAAATGTTTTGTAAAAAAAAATTCTCTACATTTATTTGTATAAATTAAACTATTAGTTTCATAAATATCTGTTTTTTTTTGTCTATTATAATTATAAAATTTTATGACTTTAATCATAATTTAATCTTATAATTAATCATAAATAACCAAATTATTAATTTCAATTAAATTTCAATTTAATTTTTTTCAATTTCAATTTAAATTAATTCATTTCATTTCAATTTTAATTTT